TTATTTCAGTGCTATTTACTGAAGGAAGATCTATATATGAGTACACACTGATGGTATAGGTACTCATTGGTGAGAGATCTGTTAGTACAATTTCACCTTCACTGGTGGATAATACATTCCTGGTTACACCTCCAGTAGTATACTCAATCACATATCCATTAGTCTCTGATGAATTGGTCCAGTTCACTTTGATACTAGTAGCATTTAATACAAACCCTCTCACATTATTTGGAGGACCACTAGGAACTAGAAAAGAGACAAAGGTATCTACTATTGATTAAAGTATAATCATACCATGTAATATCACAGATTGACTGTAGTTGACTTCTCCAATCATTGCTATACAGGTAACATTAACTGACACTCCCAGTGGATCAGGATATACCAGTAGTGTGTTGTTGTATGTCAGGACATCAATTGATGTATACATTGAGTTACTCTTCATCACTCCATTCACTAACCAGTAAACATCAGTTGAAGGATTTATATCAGTAGTTGTGAGACAATCAATACGATATTGAGTGTTATTGAGTTGAGTAATGGATGAGACTAGTATCCAATTGATTGAATTAATAACTAGAAATACATCAACGATGTTACAAGTACATTAAAAGGTGCAGTAGCAATACCTGTGGATAAGGTCTGTACACTGATTGTACTACTAGCAGGTCCCAGTAATTGTTGATATGCTCTGACTGTGATGCTATAAGTTGTTTCTATATTCAGTCCATTCAGTGTGATTGTATTATTACTACTTCCCTCCACCTGTACTGTCTGCACAGTGTCTGTGTCACTAGTGACATTGACTACATATCCATCAGCATCAGATGAATCAAGTGCAGTCCAACTGACAGTGATAGTGATAGCTGTCTTGCTGACCTCAGTAAGAGAAGAGGGAGCAGTTACTGGAACTACATGTAATTTTTTTAAATATAAATATTATTGGTAGAATTTACATGTGTATTTTATAGACATTACCTTTAACGGTTAAAATACGTGTTCTGTCAGCACCAGCACTAGGATTATCCAACACACACTGATACATTTGATCTCCAGTGGTTGATTGACTGATTAATCCACTACTGACATTCATTCCATTCCATGTGATATCAACAGTATATCTTACTGTGTTGGGGTTGCTACTAACTAAGACAGTACCAGGACAAGTATTGGTTCGATCATCACAATTAGTGTAATTAACCAATACAGTATTATCTATGCTCATACTAATACCATCATACAGTTGGTATCCAATTTTAACACAATTCAGTTTGTATTTTTGAGGATATACTGTCATATCAGAAGGAAGAGCAGCAGTAAATGATTCTATTTCTGAAAATCCTACAAATGAAAAAATTAACACATCAGTAAGTGACAATAGTCTCCTCTTACTGAATATATTAGCAAAGATGATGTTAGTGTTAGGATCTGAACAATCAGTGGGTAGACAACACTTGTACCAGCCTTCTTGATCTGCTAGTCCCTGATTAGGAACAAGATAAAGATTGATAGCAGCATCAGGTGAAATGACATTAGTACAACGAAAAGGATCACTGGCACTATTACTGTTACAGTCAACAGGATCATCATCAGGATCAGCAACTCTAACCCACTGACCAGTAGTTAGACTAGTACCAGGTAACACACATGATATAGCTTTAGTAACTTCATTGACATTATTGTCAAAAAAATATGATTTATTAGGATAACAGTATCCAATATATGCTAAATAGATACCTATAATTTAATTTCAATAGTTTTTTGTTTAGCAAATCAAAATACCTTTAACTTGACATCGTGGAGTAAGGACACTGATTGCACTGCTAGCAGGTCCCAGTAATTGTTGATAGGTTCTGACTGTGATGTTATAAGTTGTTAGCTCTCTCAGTCCATTCAGTGTGATTGTATTATTACTACTTCCCTCCACCTGTACTGTCTGCACAGTGTCTGTGTCACTAGTGACATTGACTACATATCCATCAGCATCAGATGAATCAAGTGCAGTCCAACTGACAGTGATAGTGGTAGCTGTCTTGCTGACCTCAGTAAGAGAAGAGGGAGCAGTTGCTGGTGCTATAAAAAATAATAAAGTCATTTTATTGCTACTTATACCTGTTACTAAAATGTCTCTATTTCTTTTTACTGGGCTGTGATCAATATGACCAAAGTCTAAATGGAATCTAAATACATGATCCCCATTGTTGTTTGATTGGCTCAGTACTCCACTAGTAATAGTCTCTCCATTCCAAGTAACAGTTAGAGTATAGTCCCACCTTCCATTACCATAATCTACTGACATTCCATCACCATACATGAATGTACAACTGTATGAGGCCCTAGATCCAGTGCAGAGTTTAGTACTATTGCTACCAGACTCATAGTACCAATTAGCAGCATGTAAAAAAGGACTGTGATCATTACTACCAATTTTAATAGCATGTAGTGTATATGTTTGAGGTAGTACTGTTTTATCTGAAGGAAGGTCAACTGTGATCATTTCAATCTGGTACCCATCCTACAGTAAATCAGTAACAAAGTGACAGTGTGTACTAGTTTAATAAGAACACTTACTGAATATATTAGCAAAGATGATAGTGTTAGAATCTGAACAATCAGTGGGTAGACAACACTTGTACCAGCCATCATCAGATGGTGATATGCCTTGTCCATTAGGTATGTAAAGACTGATAGTAGCATTAGGTGAAGATATTTCATTACAACGAAGAGGATCAGCACTACAGTCAACTGATGATCCACTAGGAGTAACCCACTCTCCAGCAGTCAGAGTGGAATCAGGTAGCACACACTGGATACTGTTACTGGCTCCTTTAATATCAGCATCAAAAAAATATGACCCATTAGTATAACAGTTTCCATCATGCCTCAGGTAGATACCTATAAAAACCTATACAGTTGTTATTATACACATCCAGTGTCTTACCTGAGGAAGGTGGACATTGACTAATAACTTCACTGACACTCAACAAGAAAAAGACAGTAACTCTTAGAGCTATCATTATCAAACTGAAGAGTGTGTCTAGAAACTGTGAACTATTTTAAATATACAATGTTAATAGATTAGCACTATCTATATACGGTAGTAGATGTTTTTCTAGCATTCTAAGTCAACATAAGCTACTTAACTTTCAATTAAAGCCTCTAACACATTTCTACAAACTGAATAAATCAAGATAACAAAGATATATTTCTTTGCAATAACTTATATTTGGGATATCAAAAAACTAATTTTAGTATACAAGAATAATTTACCAATACAAATCAAGTCACTAAAAATAAAAATAACCAGTGTCACTGAAAATTTGAGTATGTGCTATTTATAGCGAGATACATCTCAAGTGCTTCATATATTGTTATGTACTGCTCCTATTGAAATAAAATTATTTTAATTATCTGAAGTTGGTTGCATTGTACCAGTGTAGTGACAGCTCCTGGTTTACTCCTTTTAAGAGCTTTAGTCACTTGAAACACATCCACTACACCTTCTGCCTTACACTGTTCTAGAGCAATACTTATAGCACAGTACACTCCTGTACGACTCACTGTATCACTGAAACACATAAACAATTCCATTTGAATAGCTATTACACTTCTTACCTACAGTGTACCACTATTGGTCCTCCTCCAATCTTTTGTTGTCTGTGTATAACATCATCAATAACTTGTAGGACAGTACGTGGGTCTCTAAGGACTCCATCATTCATCCACCCAATAACCTGAAACTGGACTATGTTCCATCCTAAAGACTGTCGTTCCAGTGAAACACACAG